GTAGGTGCTGCATGTGCAGTACATCAATGTTCAGACAAGCGCAACTGATGTGAAAGACCTTTTAGGTTTTATTTAATATTATTATACATTGCAGTGAAATGCATCAATCCCACCAGCCCCTTTTAACATCCAATTAGAATCTGCTTTTCTTAAAGTAAACATAAACTTTGCTTATACAGAGAAAAGCAACAAATTTCTTTTAACCTTTGATACCATTATAAAGGATGCTACCAGTGGCAAGCGCACCTTTCTTCCCCAGTAGAAGCCACCTAAAGAACAGACTGCAGAATCTTCTCTCTCTATCTGTTAGGAAATCTCTTTTGTTTATCAACATCTGTGCCCTCCATGTTAATACTCCCCAAGCTGGGCTTCCTTTCCATTTGCAAGGTCCTGAGCTCAAAGGAAAGACGAGACACTGCTCACCGATCTGGTGCTTGAGCAGTGGATGGATATGGACTCAGCCAATGCTGCCCCCTGATGTGGTTCACCCCACACACCAGGGCTTGGTCACAGAGGTCTTCAGCTCAAAGTCTGCCAAATCCTTATACAAGCTTCTTTTTTACTTTGCTCACTGTGTACAACCCAGGCACAAATCATTTGCAGACACTCAGTCGACAGCACCTGGACCCGGGGGAGTTGTCTGTACACCCTGAGGTGATACAGGACCTGTGATGCAAGTGGGGGATCCCTGATATAGACCTCCTAGTTCAACAACAAGCTGGTCAGGTTTTTCTCTAGTTACAAGTATCCTTGAGCAGAAGCAGTGGATGCTCTTGTGGTTGTTTGGGATCAGTACACCCTGATCTATGCCTTTTTTGAGATGGAGGATATTCTGGCGATCCCCATTGCTTTTCACTGGCCCAGGGAGATATGGTACCCTGATGTTATTAGGCTCCTATTGGATACACTGTTGGCTCTGCCAGATTGTCCGGATCTTATGTTTAGAGGGCTGATGTGCCATCCTATTTCACAGTTGCTGACTTTAACAGCATGTTTTTTTTTTTTGAAGCCCAGGGATTCTGAATCTGTGATTGATACGTTGCTAAAAGTTACAAAGACTACTTTCTGCAACATCTACCATCAGACATGAAAGGCATACTTCAATTGGTGTAAGTTTTGGGGCTTCCACTATTGGATTTTCTCCGTGGGATGAATTCCCTAGGCTGAAAGAGTTTATCTCTGACCCACTGGTTTGTTTTTTTTTTTCCATCTGATGCCATCTTGGACAGAAGGCCATTCAACCGGCTCTTTGAGCTGCAGCCAGTCCCAGTTGATTTCTTGGGCCTTTTAGTGTTTGTTTGCGGTGTCATCTGTCCCTCAGCTGGTTTGCTTTTAGACCTCCTGAAAGTAAAAGGATTTCCTTTTTTCTCCTAATGGATGTGAAAGAAAATAGGACTTTTGTAATTGCTGGAAAATCCTTCTCTTGGAATTGAGGGATACAGGTCTCGTCCCTGTGTGTTTTTATAATTAAGGTCTCGGACACAAGAAACCCCCCCCCCCCCCCCTGTTTGTAATCATGCTATTGGTACTGATTTGCTACAAAGCAGAGAAATGCTGGTAGTAGGAATGGTTTTCCTGGGCTGGCCTGTAGTTTTTTTTTGTTTTTGTTTTCCCATGTCCAATTATCCTGTATATGACAGTATAACCCAAATGTGATGGACTTCCTTTTTCCATCAATGGACTCCAAGAAAAGGCTTTTACGGTGAGTACACAAATCTTATGAATTCACATCTCTTGTCAGCTAAACAGAGCTGAAGGGGAATGACGGAAAGCAGGAGTATGTATTACAAAATGAAACCTGACATTGTCCTACCCCTAAGCAGTATGTTAGTCCCAGGGTACCAATGCTGAAATTGCTTCACTGGATTTAACGTCACAGTCGTGTAACCAGTTTGTAGTTTAGGAGAGAATGGCAACATCTGTTTAAAACCTTCTCCTGTTAGTATCTTGTTTCTTGGCAGGCAGATATTAACCATGGTAACCTGGCACTTTATGTTCTATGGAACAATAAGATTAGCATCTCTGGATGTACTTCATCTCCAAACAGTCATCCTCTGTTGGTGCTCATTGTGCCAGCCACAACAGGAGTTTTGTCCACATCAGAAGAATTGTTTTTATTTATTTATTTTATTTATTTCAGGTACATATATATAGCGCCATCAATTTACACAGCGCTTTTACATATATATTGTACATTCACATCAGTCCCTAACCCTCAAGGGGCGTACAATCTAAGGTCCCTAACTCACATTCATACATACACATACTAGGGACAATTTAGACAGGAGCCAATTAACCTACCAGCATGTCTTTGGAGGGTGGGAGGAAACCGGAGTACCCGGAGGAAACCCACACAGGCACAGGGAGAACATGCAAACTCCAGGCAGGTGGTGCCGTGGCTGGAATTCGAACCGACGACCCTAGTACTGCCAGGCGGAAGTGCTAACCATTTAGCCACTGTGCTGCCCAATTGTTTTATGAACCTTCTTTGTAAATGGGAATGAGCAAACATTATCCAGGATGAGGAATACGTTCTCATGCACAGTTTTCAACATCTGACTTGGAACTAGTTACCCCAGAACCCATATAGTAATATATTTTACTTGGGGGCACTCAAATGATATAGAAACAACAATATTCATGTATACTCCATGTGTTTGTTGTTTAATTTATGTATATATTTATTTAATTAAGCAATAGATTTTTCCAGCTGTTCCCAGTTAAAATTACTTGGATTTTTGTTTAATGGAACAGACTGGTATTTGGAAATCTTCTCTAGAATCATGCAGGTTGCTTGCAATGTCTGTTTCTCTGTGTTGCACAGCAGTAATGATCATCTTCTTAGAAGGTGAAAAGAAAAATCTTGAAATTAACGTTAATGCTGCTCCCCTCCTCCTTCCTTCGCTGCCCACTCACTTGTAATAAAGAACAGCCTCTGCGTGGGAGAATCTTGCACCAGACTTCGGCTTGTGAACAGCAGGGGAGCATCTTCACTGTGTGGGATAATGGACAATTATGTGTATTGCTGCACTACAAGCAGGCGGTATTAATGTCTCTACAGGGCAAGTCACTAGTGCAAGTCAGATGATTTAACAGCGCTAGCCAATTAAGAGCAGCATCTTGTTGGTACTTCAGGTGACATTTGGTACTGAGCTTTGTTACAAAAAACTGATACCTGCCTGAATGTGCAATGTGGTAAAATGTGTAATTTCATCAATTGATGCTTTGCACACTGACATCTACTGCTGGCCTCTGTGTGGTACACTTTTACTCCGTCATCTCTGATCATGTGAGACAGAGGCTCCTCAAACCAGAAAACATGTCATCCAGTCAAAGGCTGACAGGAAGTCCACCCACCGGGACGATGGGTGGACTTCCTGTCAACCTTTGACTGGATGACATGTTTTCTGGTTTGAGGAGCCTCTGTCTCTTAATTGGCCACCCCCCCAGATTGTACCCCCCCCCCCCCCCCCCCCCCAGATTCTACCTATGTACAGGCAGGAGATTGCCTGGGTTACCATCCTCATTCTATACCTGGTCAAAGCCATGACAGGCATCAACTCATGCCTGCTTCTTTTGACAGTGGTGGGTGGCCATGGGATCTATGAGGGGGAGCATGTGCAGCTAGGGATTTGGATTTTTGGGTTTCTAAATGAAAACATTCACTTTGACATAGGCATGCCAAGGGAACAGAGTTTTCATTCTTTCTCCATGCTCTTTAGAGATGTAGAGTTTATACCCTGTTGCTCTACAGCGGGAGTCTCAAATCTTTCTAAATAAAGGGCTAGTTTATTGTCATTCAGACTTTAGGGGGCTGAACTATGGCCAATGGGGAATAGAAATTGGCCGAGCATCAGTGGGAGTAAACAATGCTCCATCTTTGGTGTCAGTGAGACGATATGTGCCCCATTGTTGGTGTCATTGGGAGTAACTGTGCTCCATTGTTGGTGTTCTTGGTAGAGATTTGCCCAATCTAAGGTGTCATTGAGAGGAATTGGGCCTCATTGTTGGTGTAATTTGGAGGAACTGTACCCCATTGTTTGTGTAACTGGGAGTAACTGTACCTATCATCGGTGTCAGTGGATGAAACAGTGCCCCAAGAACTGAATAAAAGCAAGCAAAGGGCCACACCTTGCCCCCCCCCCCCCACAGTTTGATAACCACTGCTCTACAGCACTGGTTAATTCTTTCAGACGTGTTTAATGGCTAAAGCCTTAAACGTGGGATCTGGCTTCCAAGCTGCATGTATTCAGTCAGTTATTTTCCAATAATCTTCTCTTTGGTCCTGATTTGGAGGGAATGCTTGATGCCTTGATTCTGGTGGGAGGAAGGTTATGAGGATTCTTTCCACAGTGGAAGAAAGGAACCTCCAGCTAATTCATTTTGGGACTTGTAGAAAAGGATACCTGCTATAGCTTGCAATCCCTCCCTCCTTTAAGATTCCTTATTTCAGCTGGGTGAAGCTGGTAGTTACTGGCCAGTTTTGGGTTATAACATTATTATTATACAGGATTATATAGCGCCAACAGTTTGCTCAGCGCTTTACAATATAACGGGAGACAATACAGCAACAATAAAGTTCAATACAAGAGGGATAGGAGGGCCCTGCTCCTTGGAGCTTACAATCTTTGTTGCACAAACACTGAAAAATCCCTATCGGCAAAATGCCAGAAACACGATTTTCGAACTATATATTTCAGCTGCCGATATACCAGTGCATCCCTAGTGTGGAATGTGCATTGTGATGTGCTGCAGTGGTTTGGTAGTAAACATGCATTGCATAACATGCAGTAACACATTTCTTTATCATGCATCATGGGACACAAAACATCCTTATGAATAGGGTTATGCTGTCACCTATGAGTGATTAGACAATGGCAAAAAAAATACAGGGTTGATGAGGTCAAGCAGCACACCATTTTGAGAGTGACCAGGGAACTCAGAATATTAAGGGACAACTTGGGCAGCACAGTGGCTAAATGGTTAGCACTTCCGCCTGG